TTTTTGTGCGTATTTGCAGCTTGCACCGACTCTGCTTGGCTTCCTGAGTTCGTTTTCATCTTCATCGTCTTGACTAGTCCTTCGTTGTTCTTATTGTGGTCCATTTGTTATTAAAAACTAACTTAGTTTACCCACAAACTAACTACATAACATTTGCATCAATATAAGGCTTAAAATCGAGTCTAGAGAATTTTTTCTAAAGGCTACCTACAAAAGCTCATTCACTTAACATATAAACACATACACTCTCTCTAACTTTGTGCTTAACTTAATATTTACATATACCTTAATACTATACATTTATTGCCCCCATTTGTAAACAACTATTGTATACTTAGGGAATACACTTGTTTAACTAGGACGAGATCCAAATGGGTCCAGAGGAGATATTGCTTGAGGTGGGTTGTTGAAATTGGTCTGAAGTCGTCTCTACCAGATGGGTGAATATGTGTGTGTTCTAAGGCGCCTCTCTCATGCTGCTAGCGAGTCAACATTTTTTTTTTTTTTTTTTTTTTTTTTTTTTTTTTTTGTATTATTTATAGTTATGCCCTCCGTTGGTTGCGGTTCGGTCGGTCGTTGTCTTAGCGTACTATGTATGCAACCATATGCTACTAACCTTTGAACTGCTTGTAGATGATTCCAATTTACGACGCTTTGAATCTGCTGGCAAAACAATATATATTTAGCAAATCTCTGTGTAAGGTCTATATTGTAGAGCGTATTATATTTTGCTTTCATTTACCTTTATCATATTCAATTGTTTCGTGGCTACGTCGATGCTGCAGCGAACCGTTGCTTTCATTGGACACCGAACTCAGATCACGGTCCCTTTGACGTCCTTCGTAGTCATCGTAGTGGCGATGATCCTGGCCGCTGTTGCCGCCGCCCGTTACCAGATCAACTGTTTCAACTCCCTCATGCCGATGCTGGCTTCGCTCATCGCGTCGTGATAGCTTCTCCCGTTTCTGTGCCCGCATGGCGGCAAGTTCCAGCTCCTCAAGACGCTGTGTGCGCTCGCGTGCTCGCTGCTGCAGCTCGGCCTCCGTACGTTCCTTATTGCTGATCCGATTGCTCTCACGCTGTGAGCTGCGCGTGCTGCTTAAGCTGTGGCGCTCTTCACGTTCCCGATCCCTCTCCCGGCTGCGTCGTTCGTTTTGTCCGCCATTGCTGTTGCTATTGTTACTGTTACTATTGTTGTTGTTGTTGTGGTTAGTACTGCTGCTATTGGACTGCTGCTGCTCTTCCTTGGCATCCATGTTCCGATGAGATTGGGTTTCCCTGACCGCTGATGTTGACGCATCTCTCTTGCTCTCACGTTCGCTGTTCGATGGCGCTGAAACGGCTTTTGAGATGGAGACCACATTAGATGCCGTGCCCTCCGGTCTGCTGAGCTTGGCATCGCCACGCGCTGATTGAGCTAAATAGGAAGGGGAATATATATCGATTGACAATATGTTTAGCCTTAAGTTAGTGGCACTTACCAGTCTTCGCGTCCGGCTCTTTCCCGGATGCCTTAGGATCATAGAAGGGTGCACTACTGACCGTTTTCGTCGTTGGTGTGGTCGTCGTTGTGGCAGCAGATGCACTCGCTTTGTCGCCGGGCTGCACCTTGACGGCGCTACCGGTGGATGCGGGCGCTGCTTCCTTTACCGGCCGCTCGGCGACCTGATGGAAATCACTCTCTTTGAACATATGAGGAGACTTTAGTTTTAACTGGCCAATATAGCTGGAGGCGATGGCAAACAAATCCGGTCGCTTGGTTTTCTCCTCCTCGCGCACTTTGTCCACCTTGCGTTCGATGATCTGAGCTAGCTTGGATAGCACCGGATAATGGGGCAGAATGCGCATCAGTATGATAAGCGCATTACGTATTTGCATGAAGTCCTTAGAATCAAGACAGAACACAATCGCTTTTGTGATCTTGTAGTGCCACTTGTGGCAAACATGTCGATAGTTTTCGTAGCCAACATGATCGTTGGCCTCCGAGAACTGATTGCTGACGCGGAATTTGGTCACAAAGCCAGGATAATTGGCACACTCCTTATTGAAAACAGCCTGATCCGCGTGCCAACGCATTACCGTCTCCAGCATGGCACACAAAAAGCGACCATAACGCGTCGCCTCGCCCTCCGTGCAAGATGTGACAGAGTATGTAATGTCGCAGAAGAGCTAAACAGGAATTACAAAATGAATAACCAAATTAACTATTTGCTAAGAGTACATTCATACCCGATCGTAACATAGCAACGTGGAGAAATTCGCCGTCTTCAGATTATGTATAGTCTGAACGAACTTGGCACAATAAAGCGCGTCCAGGGCAGTGAAGGTGCAGCGCGGAAAGAGGCATAGCTGCAGGAACTGTGTAATGGTATCATTTTTCGCTGATTTGGCGGAGCGCAACAGAAACCAGCCATCCTTTTGCTCTTGCAGACGTTGCAGAATTTTGTCCACATGCTCATGCTGTTTCTTACGCTCGTCATTTAGCTTCTCCATGAGCGCAATATAGCGCTCCTGCTCCTTCTTGTTCTTGGACTGGTTCTGTAAGAATTAAATTCAATGAATAATTGTTCCCGATATTTATTTAATTGGCTATTACCGAGTCCTTTCCATCGGCAGCTTGCTGTGCCAACTGCTTTAACTTGCCAATCTCTCGCTGATAAATCTCATTCGGCACATGCAAATCGTACATGCTCAGACTCCAGAATGTGACCAGAAACTGGGGACTTATGTCCTCCCAGACTTTGGCGCTGTGCAACGGTCGCACAGACTCCACAATGGGATTCATAATCAACTGCGTCGCCTCCAAATACTTTTGCAGCTTTTGGGCTGTCGTCAGCTTTTTGGCATTGGGATCCGCCTTACGCAATTGATCATATTTTTGCTATATAGATATATAAATCAAATTAACTTTCAAAGAAAGTTAACCACATATAAATTCTACTTACATTAATCTGGTGCGTGAACATGGGGCGTGCCAGGAAGAAGGCTACATCGGTGTTAATGTGGTATTCACGTAACATGGTAATAATTGATGGAAGGCGTTCGACATACTCGTCCACCGAATAGGTGGAGCCCAAGAATGTGCCAAACTGCACCAGTGCATCCTGGCACTGATCGTACAAGCTGCCCACAAGCTTCAAGTGACTATGAGCAGCCGTTTCACGATATATAACGCAATGTTTCTGCTGAGCCATCAGCAGGCAAAGTGTGACGGCGAGATCGTTGTTGGCTAACGCCTCCTTCAAGCGATTCGAAGACTTCTTTGTGTTGCGCACCTGGCTAAAGTAGCCCGCCTGAAAAATTATAAATTTATATTCATATCGATTTCAATTATTCATATATTCATAATATTACCTCGCCACGCAGCTGCTCACCGCCACAAAGCGCTTGCAGCTGATCGTTTGTCATCTCTTCGCATGACTCCACACCCGCCATTTTGTGGACAAGTTCGCGTAGAACTAGCAAATCCAGACTCTTCTGCGACTTCAGTTGGTTGGCTACATACTGAAGCAGGCCGCTCATTTCGATGCTGTACTTTTTGTAGATGGTGCCACAGAAGGAAGCAAGGCTTTGCAACCACAATGAGAGCGAGGTGCCGTCGTCCTTAAATCGGCCGCGACCCGTCATGGTAAGCGATTCAATGATGCAATAGCCCAGGCAATCAAACGATAGAGCAGTCAAGTACTTAAGCATGTCACAGACCGGACCAATTAAATTGTCATAAATTTGAATTTGAACAAGGATCTGAAATAAATGATGTAATTTGCTTAAAATTAAATTCACCAGAGCTTAAAGCATAAATACTTACATAATCGAAAAGCAGACCAGGCGTACAGTGACTATATTTGCCTACTAGACGCCCCAAGGGCTTGACATTCTCCTTGCTCACACGTTTCATAAGTGCCTTTATGTCCCGCTGTGCCAGACCGCAGCGACGTATAAGATTCGGATGCATCTGATAACTGTCATTCTTCCAGCGCGCGTACATGCTGTAGCGCAAATGATATGGAAAGAACTTAAGCACAGCCCAAATCTCTTCGGACATGGAACAATTGCTATCTAAATATAGCAACGAGGGCAATATGCTGGCATCCAGACAGGTAATGATATCGTAATAATGCTGTTCCTGCTCCGAATTCGGAGGTGGACCATTCAAGTTGTCCACGCCCATGTCCAATAATATTTTGCCCATAATGCGCACCAGTTTGTACATCAACACCGTGTCGCAGTGCATTGCTGGACCCAGAACATTGGCCATGGGCCATGTGTATTTGCGCAAATCGCCAAAGTCCTGCGCCTGCATCTTAGCCACCAGGGCGGCATCGTCGTACAAGCGATTGCGGCTGGGCTTACGACCGGCAGGAGCTTTGAAGACTTTCTTGTAATAAATCTGCTCGACTGACAGATGTACCAACTCCACGATAGCGCGTGCGATTGGATCTTGAACCACAACTGATTGATCTGGCAGTTTCTGTATGATTTTGAGTGCATTGTCCCAGTCTCCAACTTTGAGCAATGCCTCGCACAGTCCAAACTTCTGATTAGCATTGTATTTCTCCTACAAAATGTATATGAGATTAGTTACCTTAAGACAGTGATACTAATGAAACATACCTCATCAAATTTCTTAGTTGTTGGTGGCGGTGGTGGCTCTTTGTCATCCTCCTTCTTGTTAGTGGAGATCACATGAAGTTTGCGTACCATTTCCCTGGCGTCGGCAAGCTCCTCCTCCCACTGTGCACGTATGCTGCCATCATTGGGCGTTAACCAGACGTATACATCATTCAGTTCAATGACTCCATGCTTGAGCAGCAAAGCACACACATGGTATAACGAACGGGGCGTGCGTGCCGCCTTAAAGTGGCAGAATTTGTAGCCGAGAACTTCACAGATAATGGCGCCGGTGGGCATATAGCTCCGCAGCAAAGGTATAAAAAGTTTCCAGCGATCGGGGCGCGTCTCAAAAGATTCAATGATAATATCCAGTACGCGATTGGGATCAAGATTGAAGCAGCCTACAAGCAATGAGGAGGTTAATCATGATCTTAAATTAAGATAAGATGAGCTCACCAATCAATGATTTTATGATATCCATTATTGTGTCAGGTGTTGTGTGCTCCTCGAAATCCTGATTCATTTCCGTGATAAGCTTTGCAAATCCTTCACTCTCCTCGCGAAAAAGATTAAAGCGGCGCTGTTTGTAGCTGTGCGAGTTTAAAGGATAGTTCAGTTAATTGAATGTACATTGACCACTGCATACTTTTGTTTAGTTTTGAGCTAAATAAATAAATAGGCGCACTTACTAGAGCTTAGTCTTGACTTTGATGAATTTAGTGTAGAAACTTTTGTTCTTCACAATGCCAACTTCCTGCAGCGTATCAATTTCCAAGCGTTCCTTAAGCAAACTCTCCGGCAGCACCTTGTCCAGATCCTTAACAATTTGTACAAATCCATGCCGCTCCTCCTGTAAGCCCTCAGTCATCAACGATGTCTCACTATCCAGAATATTGACCACGTCCAATATAAGACTGGGAAACTCCTTATGCAGCGCCTAAAAATAAGAAATCAAGTTATACTATTTGACTTTAGGTGCCCGGCATGCGCAGTACTTACCACAACATCTGTGAGCACATGCAGCACGACATCTTTCTTGAGCTTGTAGCGCAATGCTTGCCAAAGCAACTCGTATATGGCGTTTGAGATCCCGCGCTTAAATGTGCCATGCCGATCGAAAACTGGACTTTCTGGGCTATCCTGCAACTGTTGCTTCAAGTACTTCAAGCTAGAAAATGGAAAGTGTGTACATAGAATATTAATGCGCATATAATAGACATCTTAGAAGCAACTACATACAATTCGTTTCGGCCAGACTTATCAAAGTGCTTAAAAATATCTGTATTGAGTAGTGTTTCTTTATTCACACTGCCGCCATTTCCATTGGCATCCGTCAGGGTCGCCGCATCGGGCGCCGTTGTTGTTGCTGTGGTCGTCGTCGGCGCTGCATCGCTTTCTTGCGTACCCGTCACGCTGTGACTCTTCGACAATTTCTTCAAGCGACGCATACAAACTATTTATTTCTACACGCGGGCAACACGTATTTTATTTGCTTTATTTACAAATTTTACGTTATTTATTGAACAATTTGACAAATTTTCACACTTTTCTCCGCCTTTTCGAGTGTGAGAGATGTGTCTGAAAAATTTGTCTATCGATAACTGAATATCGAACTAGGGACCCAGTGAATGTTTTTAACAGGGCTACCACGAAAAAGTCGAACGATTAAAAAAGACTGGTATGCTGTTAACAAAAGTCGAATTAAAATACCTCAGTTAGCGCCAAAAGACTGATTTGGAAATATTTGGAAAAAAATATAAGAAATAGCAAATTGTTGTTGGAATAATGCAATATAGTCACAACTAAAACTGAAATTAAATGTTTTGGAGCAAACTGTATTCAGGCAAAAGAAGCAATAAACCATTTTACGACACATGAGTTTATTAAAAATTTGATATTCAGAAGTGAAAGTGCTTAAGATGTGATAAATTGTTACATATTTTCTTGCTGTCGACGTAAACAATGTTTGTGAGCGATTTCCGCAATACATTATTTGTATATTATTTTTTTACAGGTCCTCTAGAAACGCGGTTTAAAAGTAGCCGGAAATTGATTGAAACGCGGACGCAGTGCAGCATTCGATTTCTCGAACTTCTCGCCCGTGTGACCCAATATTATGCCTTCTGTTGCCTTTCCGCCATCCTTGTAGCTTTGTTGGGTGGAGTTGGCTTCAGCCACGTCGATAATGCGGGGATTCTTGCGATATCTGTACCACCAGTACTCAAAGACAAGCGTAATGCAGGCCATGCCAATGCCTACAAAGATGACAATAAAAACGCCGCCAATATTCTGAATGGATATGCCGTCTGATTGATCCTCCGGCTTTTCACAGGCGGCCTGTGCCTCATCGTTCTTCCACCACTTTTCTTTGAGCTTCTCCAGTTGACGCTTGTTCAGCAAAGTTAAAATACTACAAAATATGGATTAGCTTAGACTTCGAAAACCAATCAGTCCTGACTTACGCATTATTAAATTGATCCTTCAGATGCGAGCCTTGCTGTACCGCAATCGCATAGGGCTTCCGAGAGAACTCCTCACCGACCACCTGTAGATCACAATTGGTCAGCTGCAAATAGCGTATGTCCGTTGCATCACCCAGAAATGCAAAGCCCGTTGCCGTTGAGGAATTGCGCACGCGCGCCACAGCTTCGTCCAGTGAAGCCGGCAGACCCGCCTCCTGCATAGCCTGCCACATCTTCGTATACTTATCGCTGACCGGATAATCCCAAACGGCTAGCTTAGAGCGCTCCAGCGGTGTCAATGAATCGTTCAATGACAAATTCTTCCAGATTTCATAAAACATTTGCTCGATGTTGGCCATGCGTTCAAAGTATGTCATTGCAGCGGAACCATTTAGAGGAGCATAGAGAATCTTGTACTGCTTGGCCAGATCATCCAGGGACTCAACAGGTGTGTCCAAACGAGAAACAGTCAAAAAGGCAGCCAAATTGGCCGTGTAGGAGGCAATGATGATGAAGCTAAAGTACAATAGATATTAGCATTTAAGGTTAGCCAATTTATCTTCACTCCAATCTTGATACCCACCCAAAGAGCCACCATGTGGCGGCAACTAAACGACCGGATAGATTCTTGGGCGCCTCGCCGCCGCCCTGAGGTGTCAGCGAAGTCATGCAGAACCACAGGCACTCCTTCAAATTGAATTCACGCTTCTCCTCGTCGTCCTTGTATTTCTCGCGATTGTTCTGATAGCTGTACGGACTCCAGCGATCGAAGACCCACATCAAAAAGCTGGTAAAGAAATATGCAGCCAATATGCACAGCCAGACATTCGTTTCCAGCACAGTTAGAAATTTAAACAGCGAGCTAGGCGAGCTGGGACGCTGCATCATAATGGTGATGCCCACCAGATCGTAATAGGGCACCGTGAAATCAATCACGATCTCACGCTCCGCCATTACCGACATGCTGCCCAGTCCAATGTCCGCCTGTTTGTCGATCAGCTTCTTAACAATGCCATTCCATTCGCCCTTCTCATCCATATTGCCAAATTTACCGTCCTCCACCTCTTGGATCTCATAGTCGAAGTGCACAATGGCCGCGATCTCATTGATCAGATCAATGCAATAGCCCTTATAGCCCTTGGGTGCGGTCTCATCGCGCATTATAAAGGGGGCTTGCTGCGAATATTAGATCAGGTCAATCGATCTACTTAAGACTATTCATTATTAAATAGAAAGTTTTCACAGTTAAACTTTAGTTAAATGTTTATTAGTCGCTTTCCCAGGTCTTGTCATTTGAACTTTGCGTGCTGTGTCACTCATCAATCAATCAGTCATAAACAATCATATATTGCTAGTCCCGCATATAACTTACCACAACGGTGTAAATGCGATAGACCGTATCTGCAGTCAGATTCTTCATTTGCTCCTCATCCTTGACGACCAGGGGCGAGTCGAGGCCAGCTGTCCAGGTGCCGATTGATTTGCTATTGACAGAGCTGCCACCACGTATCTGGAGCACATTGATATCCATTTCAAACTTCATGTAGCTAAAGCCATTAAATGTCTGGCCCGGTTGCGTGACCAGCTCGAAAGTGCCATAGGATGTGGGTTCGGTAACCTTTGAACGTGCCCAAAAACAAAAATCACACAAATTTTGTAAACAATCATTATTGTCATAATTAGCGTTGGGGAAATAGTAAACACACCTGTGTAAAGTATTGCCTAAGATCAATATTACGTTCAGGTGTATTGCCGCCTTGAAAGTCATCGCACTTCAGATACTCCATGTCCTTTGGCCAGGCGCCCGAGTGGAGCATTTCCCTAGCAACACACAAAGAAAATAGCTTTTACTTAGGGAATCCCTAACCATCCAGAAGTAATCAACTCTGTTTTGGCCCCAAAAATCTCAACCTGCTCTTCTTCTTCGTCTCATCACTTACTTGATGGCCAAGAAGCTGCGCAATGCCAAATCAAAGTAGAAGGCCGATGTCAGCTTCGGCTCCTCGTTCAAGTTGAATGTGGAGTAGAGCAGGCCGAGACGATCGCGATACTGCGCATACGCCATGGGTTTCAGGAACATAATCGTCGCATTGTCACGCTTACTCCTCAGTTCACCCTCGTGCTGGGTGATCGCATGCCAGGCAAAGTTGCGTGCAAAATACGCTGGCTTTACAGACTCCAACACCATGCCAATGGACTCCAAATTACCCAGTACAAAGAAGTTATTAATGTCCAAATTGCGCAGCTTCTCGATCTGTTCCTCGCGCTCCCGTTTCCCATCTTTGGCAATGGCCGTGATGACATGACGCGTCTGGATGTTCTGCAGCAACGATTTGTACTTGTGATCCATGACAAAGGTGTCATCGTAGAGTATAGCAGCTGAGGAGAGAATGAATTTAAACTGGAATATTGTGGCCTATGATTCCTATATAAATTCCGAAATTAATACGAAAACTAGGCAAAACAGATTTGATACATAAGGCATTTATAAGTCGAACATATCCCAAAACTACCATTGATTTGTACATATATAGCTTAAGCAAACGTGTATTTACATTTAGGGTATTCACTAGTCGATCATACTCCACACTTACCATTGGTTATGTTCAGCCGCTTGACAATGCTTCTCACTGCTTCTGGCATAATGTCAGCCGGTGGCATTATCTGCAGCAGATACTTTTGCTTCGATTCATCCAGATCCCGCCATTGTCTCAGATCACCCTCCTGTCCATAGGAGGCGCTAATTGTGGGCAGGCCCAGGGCTTGCGTGAAACTCTTGACCGTCTCCGAGGATACGCCCGACTTGGTGGTGTCCAATATAAGATGCGGCGTTTGCTTTCGCTCAATGCTGGCCACATACTTGTTGCAAACTGTGATTTATACGATGATATATGCATATGTATGTTGTATGTAAATAGGTAGATCGAAGATAGAAACCTACTTGCTTCCAGTAAGATTTTAGCATCCGTTTTATTCGCCTCAATGGACTCAATTTGCACCGATAAACCGTAGCTGGGATTCTTTTTCAAATAGGTAAGCACCACCTCGACGGCCTTGGCCGCTGGCTCATTATCCACTTCGTTTATAAAAACTATTAGAGGACACGACATTAGTTCACTGTTTGCATAGGCGACCCAACACGCCGCTCCCAGTCCCAGTCCCAGTCCCAGTCCCACGCCCACTCCCACTACCACTGTCATTCTCAGACCAATTCAGCCAATCGCACACTTTCAGCTTAATTAGTTTACCTAAGACCCCAGTGCGCTATCTATTCTTATTCCATCTATCGATTTGCCACTTACACACATTGATATTCTGCGTGTTCTGAGCTGCAATTTCCATATGCAGCAACGTCCACGCTAACCATAGGCATTTTAAAGTCTCTATATATCTGCCCATTACTATTTTTCCGTTTGAGCACAAGATCCTAACATTGACCGCACCACACGAACTGCAATTGACAACTGACGACAGGGGCTGCCAGGTCAGGCAGCGATTCGAATGTGTGGACACACACGTGTCTCCTTGGTGATAATCAATTTGGTTGGCTACCCTGCTGACCGCATAATCCATTGTTTGGTGCGCTAATTGGTAACGCCCTCCACCGAATTGGAACCGGATGTGGGTCAGCAGGTGGAGTAATTGTCACAGGGAACCCTTTCACTGACAGCCCAATACGTGGCCTTGAATTTCTGAATGTCTGATTCAATCTTTTAAATACTTATATCAATTAAATTACTTATTTAAAAAATATATGTTTAATTTGATGTTGAGAATCAATTAAGAAATCTCAAATATATCCCATAAATAAAAATTACAAAAGAAATTAATGAAAAACATTCTCAAGGCAATACATTTCTTTCATATATATACATAAATTCATATGATAAACTATATATTACATTAAACACAATTGATTTTAGAATTTACAAAAAATTTTATTACATTTAAATCAGATAAAAAATACCCTTAACCACCCTGCTCAGTCCATTTCGCAGCAGCGGATTGGGCGCCCTCTTAGATACGAGTACATACAATATATTAGAAACGTAGCTACTAGTTGTGGACAGGCGCTGTCGACCCACGACTAGTGTGCATTGTCATTATGCGTAAACTTAAATTTAA